AACTATCACAACGGCTCAGGGATCAGTTTTCATTTGTCAAAAGATGCAAGAATTTGCTAGGGAAATATGACAAGTCAAAGCTGCTAATAAGGTGATTATTGGCCTGATAAGAAGGCATGTAGGAAGAAAACAAAAAAATTGGCATAAGACTTTGGAACAAGTTTTGTGGGCTTGTTGAACGTCTCCCAAAGAGGCAACAAATACTACGCCTTTTCGACTGACGTTTTGGCATGATGTAGTTCTGCCAGTAGAAGTAAATTTGCAGTCAATGAGAATACAGAGGCAGAACGAAATCCCCTCGACTATTATTGGGAAATCATGATAAACGAATTATTTGACTTGGATGAATAAAGAATTCATGCTTTGGAGGTTTCATAGTATTTTAAAAATTCCTTGCAACAAGTGGAGCATTTCCATCATCCTCTACATGTGTTGAGGGAGTAAGTTAAGATGGATCAAATTCTCAAAGATGGGAAGGTCATCTCCCTGTCGGAGTAGCCATGTGCATTTTCTGCGTGTACTGTATGTAAAATACCTTTTTAATAGAAAGGTATATATGTGTATATTTATAATAAAGTATTCAATTACCTTCACAAGATATGTTTGTCTAATCTCGAGTGAGGAGCTCCAAGTTACGTGCAAACTTATGAGGTATTCCCTCAAAGTTTGTTGGATGTCTCTAAGGTTGTTCCCAATCAAAGGTCGGTTGCCCTTCCCGCGCCCAAGTGAAAACCTGGTCCAAGGTCAACGTGTGGCCAACCCACTATGGCCTATGGGGTGGCTAGAAGCTAGAGGGAGTGGATTATTATTTCCTATGGGGAATTTATTGATATAGTCTCACATGCATGATGCTTGTGGCAACACCCAAGACTTTATTTGTGTGTACTTTATAGTGTGGAGAATTGATTAATGTAGTTGCTTGCACACGACATTTATGACAACACCCTTGAATTTCTGTCTGTGTACTTTATGTCATATGGAAATTGATTGATGTAGACACATGCATGTTGTGTTTACGAAAACACTTTTGAGTCTTTGTGTTGGGGCCTCAATTCATCCGGTCATACCCCGAACTCGCTGTTACCTTACACAATCAAATGAAATAAATATTTAATAGCTTGCCATTTTTAATTCATATTTGAGAATTAATCCCGTATTCGAGGAAAGTGTTCATACATACATATTGCTTAATGCAAATAATAAAAAAACATAACCATAAAAGATAGTCGCAACTAATTTTCCCTGCTTTATTTTTGTCTGCTCAGCCATTTCTTGGAGGACAGTTATCCATGCTTTTAAGCTGCTCGATTAAGGAAGCCACGTTGAATTACATTGACATGCCTTCTCTTTAGTCTCATTGGAGTTCTTGATATATCATCTCGACTTCCTTGAGGCTGGCATTGAAGGTGCCCAGTTCCCATTGAAGATAATGGTATTTGAGCTTAAGGTTGACCGATGAGGCGACAATATCCAGGTGGCTATGAAAGGTCTTCCCAGAATGCAATTGTAGACACTATGGAAAGGAACCATAAGGAATCACGAGTTGATGGATGGGATGTCTCTCCCTTCTCATATTGATATCATTAGCTCAACACACACTTAGGGAAGGGTGGTTGTACCGTTTAATGTCTGCAGATCCAAACCTTTATACAAACATAAGCTTCCTCTTTCTAGGCCCATATTTTATTCTAGACATGGGGGGGGGGGGGGGGGGGGGGTAATCCTCCTAAGCTAAAAATTCATTTTAAAATAGTTTGCAAGAGTTTCATCCGAGTTTATAAAACAACAATGATGTTGCGTGGCAGAAGCAACTTTATCGTAAAAGAGATTATGCTTATCGATTTGCATTAACACGAAGATACTTAAACAACTCATTACACAATCTAGATGGAAAATAAAATTAAACAAAATGTAAAAACTATAATTAATCACCAACACGAATAAGTTTTTACAACCACCATTTTCAGGGTTAATTGACACTAAGACAAAGTTGAATTACCAATTCTAACAAAACCTACACTTTTACAATTAATCACTACCGAGAGAAAATCCTAATGGCATGCAATTCTAGAAAGCAATAGAAAACAACCTAAACATGCAATTAACTACAAAATTAAGTGTGTGTGTGTGTGTGTGTGTGTGTGTGTGTGTGTGTGAGAGAGAGAGAGAGAGAGAGAGAGAGAGAGAGAGAGAAGAGAGAAGAGTACACCTAGATTTATAATTGTTTGGCACGTTCATCATTACTTTGTGCTTAATCCACTCTCCAATGGTTTCCCGTTGAAATTTTTTGGTCTTCCGATAAATTTGTGAAATCACCATATTTGAAATGAACGTTGAAAAATACTTTTCTTCTTTATGGATCTTTTACTTATACAAAACTCAACAAATTGAACTCTATGCAAAATCTTTACTCAAATTTTCTTCTTGAATCTTCCAACTCCAACAGCTTGTTCCTAAGTCACCGTTGAAACAACCGACTGAAAATCATCAAACAATGAAGTCTCCATCGAACGTCTTTTATCCCACATGAAGGGATAGGTAAACATCGAGAAAACCTGAGAAAGGAGAAGTCACGATCTTGCGACCGAGAGATCAGGTAAGAGAGTCTGTTACACGAGAGGAAGGTATTAACACCCCACACGTCCGTAGTACTCTACGGTATCCACTCTTGTTGTCTATCTTATGGGTGTGTCTAATATATGCTTACTGCTTAATACTGAGGAAGAATGCATGCAAAAGAAATGACAAAATAATGTAGGGAAAATAAAGTTGTGCTTGCTTGGCCCCTACCCCAATGCCTATGTATCCTTTTTGAGGAATCAGAGTTATTGTAGTTCAGCTCACATATATTGTTTGTTTTGTGTTTTTTTACGAACAATGTTAAATCCACCTTCTGCCGCATCTCGATATTTGGATACTCACGCATTGGCACAAAAGTAAATTAATCATATCCTTACCTGAAAAGGGTTTTAGAGAAAATGAGCTTAGACACACAAAAAGGTTTGAGTAGATTTGTATTTTATTACCTCTAAAAAAGGTTTAAGTATGATTAGCATGTTTTATGATTTGCTAAGGAAATGGAGTTTTAGTTTTAGATGAAAGGATGTAAAAAGGGAAGAAAAGAGTCTAAGGGAGACTAGCCTATTACTAATCCTAGTGTTATCATAAAATGGTGATCCTAATATTTGGATTAACAAAAGGAAAATGTCTACCTAATGTTAACATGCATGGTTTGCAACCTAAGGTCTAGCTTGTATCCAAAAGGAACAAGTATCCTAAGTGGCATGTACAAGGATAAAACAAGAAAGCTCGAAAGAGCATACACATAAAATGGTAAGGAAAAGAAATGAAATGCTTTAGTCAAGGGGAGCGTATCACCAGAGATAACACAAGCGGGAATAGGATGTAAAACAAAAATGTGATGTCCAAAGCGGCTGAACACCTAGCCAAGATATATGAGATCAAGGTAGGCGACAGAAGGCCATATGAACGATCCCAAAGTGTTAGCATCAGCAAATGTGAACTCTTGATAAAGCGTGGAGGTCTGTTTGCAAAACCCTTCCCCACTTAACAGACTTGATACACAAGAGCAGGCACAACTTTGAAGCATCATGGTGCGTCACGAGCTAAGGATGACACTGACGAAATTACGGGGGTTGCCTTCGAACCCTCCCTGTTCGCCTCTTTTGAGGACTTATCATATGTACATATGCAGACACAAATATAAACACATGTGAAGAATACCTACTTCAAAGGTAGGGTTTTAAACAAACACAAATAGCACGCATAAAGCACAAAATGCTGAATTTCCCTAAACGGGTCTTTAAATAAACCAGAGGAATTCGTGACATGATCATCAAAAGAGATCCCATCATGCATCTCTACCCTACTTCTCATGGAAAGGAAAGCAGTAAAGCTCTACTTCTCACGATCTCTAAAAAAGAAGTAAAGAAATGCTGTAGAGTGAGAAGAAGTACAAAGGTAGTAGGGACGACTACCACAAGCAAGACAATCTTCAAAAGAGGACGAAAACAATGGAGAAGAAGGTAATACGTGTTGAGAAAGCTTCACCAAGAAACAAACAAAGTTATAAATGTTATCCAACTAAGATAAAAGCAAGCGCGTATTGCGAATGCAACGCGTAATCAGAGTTTCATGCATAAGGTATCACAAAATATTACATGCATCTGGACAACATATAATATGATATGAATTTCTCAGGACGATGTGAAATAAGGCGTGCCGCATCAGAAGCGAGCATAAGCCATATGATTCGATCATATAACAACTTGTTATGTTACATGATCGAAAGCATAAAAAATGTACTTTGCACAATGAACAAGCGTGTCAAAAAAATAACGAAGCACAACAATATGAAAATATGAATAAAACTAAAAGAAAAGTATTTTTTTACTAGTTTTTTATGTGCGGAAAAATTCCATCAAAGACTAAAAATTAATTCCTAAAATTGACTAAAAAGTTCTAACAAGTTTTACAAAGAGATAGTGTGCTCAGGGGGTGTTAAGCTGAAGTCAGGGGTGCTATAGGAGAAGGGTGCTAGGCTCATAATGAGAGTCCAGGAGCATTTTTTATGTTATAACAAATAGGCCTTTACAAATTAACGGGCCTAGAGAAAGAGAATCTGATCAAGCCCAAAAACTCTATCAGACATCCATCCTCAATATTTTTTTGTATTATTATTTAATAACAGAATAAATAAACAAATTAAAAAAGAAAAGGAACTTAGGGTAAAATTGTGTTTGACTCCCTTCCTCCCCATCTCATCTATCACTCAAGCTCTCATCTCAGATCTTGCTCATCTCCAATGATGATTCCAATTTCAATCGTGAATACAAACCACACCATAAATCTCATCTCATCTTCCTCGATGCTAAGAAACTTCACTGTTAGTGCCTCCGTCTCAATTCGGAGCTTCGTTTCAACCTACCTCACTTCATCTCTTTTCTGCTCGTTTCTCCAACTCAATCGTCTTTCGGTCAATGCTTCAGACACAATGTCATCTTAGATTTCGCCTCATCCTCTTCATCTTCATCTACGGTCCACTTGGTTTCGATTCAAATAGATTCGACATAAACATAAATATGACAACATACTTAATTGAGAAGCAAGAGACATGGATCCTTACCTATCAGAGTTTGTCTGATGCGTCTTTGATGGCGATTACAAAGAGAAGAAACCCAGGTATGCGTGTGCGTTAATATTTTGATTATTCTCTCTGATTCACACTTCTTCTTCTTTTGCTTCTATTGTGTTGTTATGATTCTAAAAAGATGAGATTATGATTTGTGATGTTGCAGTTGTTCTTGATGCAGAAATCATGATGGTGGTGCTGAAGCGGATTATGGAGGAAGATGGAGAGGATGTTGATTGTGAAGATGTGATTACATTGAAACTGGAAGAAGATGCTTGATGAAGAATTTATAGTCGCAATTATGACGATGAAGATGAATTCGCGTGAGGATTGTTTGTGAGCAATAGAAAAGGAAAAAATGTCGAGAGAGGTGAGGTAGAGAGAGATTTTTTAGTTCTGCAGATGAAGAATAAAGGTGATGGTGAAAGAGATTGAAGGATATTGAGAATTTTGGAATTGATGAATCAGAGGGAGAGTTTTTGAAGAAAAAGCCTTTGGTGAGTTTTTTTTCTGAAGGTTTTTATTATTGTGAACTCCCTCCTCTCTTTACCGATATACTCTTGTTAGATCTGTTAGAGGGTCGGTTAGAGGATAGAAATATGATTCTAAAGGTTGGGATTCGGTTAGGCCAATTAGAGGGTTTTTCAGTTAGAAGTTAGAATTCAGTTAAAATTTTGTTTCTGTTTTCTATCATTTTCAGTTTTTCTGCTCTGATTTAATTCCTTTTCTTAGTATTCTCTGAGTTATGATTTAATTTTCTGAGGTTTGCTGTTACTAATTTATGTGCTTTTGTATATACAGGGCACAACTTGTTGTATGCTTCAGTTGATGGGAACTAGGCTGTAAGTCGATCGGTAAACTGAAGGTTATGTTAGTTATTGGGTGGTTAAGAAATTAGTTGAAACAAATTTTTTAAAGGGAGAGATGTTGAAAAACAGTTAGAATCTGTTATGGAAGTTATGAAATTCTGTTATAGGTAATTGATGAGCTAGAGAATCAGTTAGATGTTAGTTTCAGAAATTCTTGTTAGTTTTCGTTCGTTATTCGTGGATTGGTTCATATGGTATGGGGCTGTTTGTGAACCCTTCTTACTTCTGAGTTTAATACTGATATGCTGAAGTTTAATATCAATATGCTGAGTCGTGATTTTTCTGACTTTTGAACTGGTGCAGGTTATAACATAGTCTCGGGTGCCATTTCTAGCAGGCAACAATAGATTTTCCTCAAGTCTTCATATTGGTTTGGAGAAGAATTAGCAAAGATCCTGGACTTATTTTGAAGTTTATGATTGACATGCTTGTAGAAGCTTGGTTTAGGACTTAGAAAAACTCACATGTGTGTTGTAATAATATTTCAATTTATAATGGTTTGTAAATCAAATATCTTGTACTATTCTTGAAAGATTTTCCTCTTTTCTAATTGAATCTTAACTCTCCCTTTTGAATGATATTCTTCATGTATCAAAATAAATCCAAAATTTTAGCTTGTATGGTAAGAACACAATGAGTTTGTAGCTTCCATAAAAATGAACTCGATTCCATATTTCGTAACAAAGCAACCTTATCTTTAAGACCAAAGTTCTTTGAACAATAATTCATCTTGCATTTGACTTTGTAATGACACCATAAATTCTAATTTTGTATGCTTGACATATTAGGCAAAATGATCCTTTGGACATCTTGAACATAACTGGGGTTTATGGAATCTCTTGAATCAATTTCAAATCCAAATCAAATTGCATATTCTAATCCTGAAATCCAAATCAAACAATAACAACGCCTCGCATACAATTTGAGTCCCCAACATTCTCTTTGTACCATGACTTATACTTTACAAATCAACCAATAAAATGTTTTGACTTGACCAAATATCTCTTCCTTTGGGGTTCTTTATCAAAGAAAAACCCATGAAGAATCTTATAACAAATATCGAGTAACTGAGTTAAGATGAAAACTTAGTCTTCTTGCCATGGGTGTAATATTGAATGAAAAAGAAGCTTAACACTAAATCCATAGTTCGGAGTCTTCTTAGTTAGAACCATTGATGAGAAATAAATAAGTCTTAAATGGTCACAATCACAAACCCTAATTCCTCATACCAAAGTTGATGAAGGAACAAAACCTCAAGACCAGAGGGGAAATAGACGAATCAATATTATTTGATATGTGCATGTCAGAACACCATGAAAACCCTAGCTCACATAAACAACGAATTTTGAGCCTCGGTTCTTTATTCAATGAAAATGCATGATATGTTAATGTCCTAATGAAAATATGTGAATAAAATGAGAAGTGAAAAACGCATAAGCCAGATGATCCTGTTGTACCCCAAAATTTGTCCTCTCATTTCACTCAAGGCATGCCTCCAAAGATCTTCAATTGCTCAAGTTGACTAAGGATTGACCAGACAAATCCTCCTCTTAAGACAATAAGCCTCAAACTAGGGTTTCAATTTAAAGCAATATGGTTGAGTCCTAAGGGTACCAAGTGTTCTCCATTTCCCTAGTATGTCCCCAAGATCACCCAAGTCAAGTTTCATGCCTTACACAACAAATTTGCTCAATCAACTATTCAAGTATTGGAAAATCAACCGTACTAGGTCAAAAGTCAACTATGGCCCAAATACAGTCAAACTTCAAGATTTTTGGTCAACATAAACATTTTGAAGTAATCTCCATCATTTGATCAAGGGTTGATGATGATTTCTCAAGAAATGCTCCTAACTCATCAAAAGTCAAAAATGGCAATTTAGGGTTTCTATAGGAAAAGTCAACCAAACTTTGACCAGGCATAACTTTCTCATACTTTATCAAAAAAATTTCAACCAAGGCTCATTTTGAGAGAATCCAATTCCCTACAACTCCTATTCATCCCTCAAGTTCAAGAAATGCCTCAATCAAAAGATGCAAGTTCATACATTATAGGTCCTTTCAAAAAGTCAACAAAAATACCTTTTGGGTCAAAGCTCCTTACATGAACATGGAAGATCCAATTGATATGAAACCAAAAGGTTTGTTTAGAGGACATCCTAAGCTTCAAAAAAAGTCGGAGAACACCCTCTTAGGGTAAAAAATGATAGAGATATGCATTGCTAAAGTTGACCAAGTTTTGGAAATGTGCATGAAGTCAACATTTATCAAAATTGATTTTTTTCTAAATGGGCCCATGTTTTCTTATTTGAAACTTGTTCCTAAGATGGCCCACGACCCCTGAGCTTATCCACTTATTATTTTATTATTTTTATTATTTGTTTTGATTTTTTTATTCATTTAAATCAAAATAAATCAATTTAAATAGTGGAATAATGAAATAAAATCCAAGATTTTATTTTATGAGCACATTATGAGTCTATGATCAGCTGGAAACTCAAGGATTTCGTGCAAGGAATGATTGGAACAAAAATTACAAGATTTGGCCTATTTTAGAAACTAAAAATATCCATAGCAAATCAAATCTTTTTTCCATAATTTTTCAAGATTGCACCTATTTTTGTTGACCTAATTCGTTCTATTATATATTCATAACATTCCCAGAGCAGAAAAACAAGGATTAGTCGTGTGAATTGGGAGAACAAAACTCAATTTTTGACAAAGAAAGTGGTGATTGGATCTTCTTCTACAAGGAGATTCAAGGACTTTCAAGGCTAGCTATCAACTCCTGGCAGTATTTGGGAGCTATTTGGACCATTACCACGCCTCAACACCTTCAAAAAACCCACATACAGATTCACAATTTGTTCTTAATTCTTGAATTTGGTTTTGAGAATTTACACATTATAAACGATTTCTAAATATACATTCATGTTTGTATCATCATTTAGAATATGTTTGTATAATTAATTATGAGTTTTTAGGCATATTTGATAACCTACCATTGTTAGGGTTTAGAGGTTCGTTTTAGGGCTTTTCGTTTCAGGCAAAATTAGGGCCAAAGATAAACACCATCGCACTCAAGAGATCAAACCCAGTTTATCTATGTAATTTGATTTGATTTATCTCACCTGGTGTTGATTTTTGAGATTTGCAGGTTTATAGTTGCAGCATATTATCCGTAGGTAAAAGTCCTATCTAAAATGACAGTTCCTTTGGAGAAGATGATGACGTGTCTAAACCTGGGTTGGACAGTTTGAATTTCGCGCGCGTTTATTACATCACTGACTCAATATGTTATATAATATATTATTTGTATTTGATATAATGAATGAAGCGTTGGCCCAGTGGTAAGAAGGAAGGGTCATAAGGCGTTGTGTGTGGGAGGTCAGGGGTTCGACCCCTGCCTCCAACATTTTCTATTTTCTCTCAATTTCTTTGCAAATCCTATGCTCTCATTGCAAGCATGCACACCATAGATCTCCAGATCGTCACCCTTGGATCGTTCATTGGACAGATCTCACGCTTCCAGGCTACATCTCTATGGTGGACATCCTAGCAAGCCTCCTACTGAATCCAACGCTTGCTATGGGCCAACCAGACTTGGGCTTGGCAGAATTCAGCAACAACACCCTCCAATCTCGGCCTACACCCCCCTCAGGCATAATTTCTAATCTTTTCTAGTTTTATTTATTTATTATCATTATTTAGTTTAACTATTTCAAAACAAATCAATTTTTCATAAAAAATCATAAAATCAAATAATCACAAAAAATAGGATTTAGTTTTATTTTTAATAAATTAATTTTTTTCAAATTAATAATTTTAATTAACTTTAATTTTGTTTCATTAATTAAAATTAATTAGGAAAACTTAGGTCTAAATTCAATTCTTTTTATCATAAAATCCCAAAATATTTTTAATAATCAAATTAGATTTTTAGGGTTTTTGAACCTTCTTTCCAGTTAATTCTCATGCGTAATTATTTTTTCCGCACGATTAATTTTTACTATTGATGTAACTGCGCCCGGTTTGTAATAGCTTACTTAGGTTTTTTTCAATTCTGCATTTTTACTTTTCAGTCATTAATCATGTAATTGCACCAAAGCCTTGTAATAATTAGGAACTTTATCTTTCCACCATTTATTTTCCCGCCCGATAAACTGTTTAGATTAATGTTTAATAGGGTTGCCTGAAATATAATGATTAATTGAACCTAGATAACCCTAATTGCGCAAGATAAAATATCTGAAAAAAGCACACTGTCGCACACTTGCACCCTTAGGGTATACCTCACTCGGTTTCCTTCGAATTACGGTCACAATTCTCGAAATGTGAGAGTTCTTAGTGGCTGTCCTTAAGTCTAGAGATCACTAGTCCCTCGATGACCCTCTCGACTGTTGCCTCGGTA